ACTTTGCTGACCGAGATTGAAAGATGGAAATCAGCAAGGTGAACTAAACTTCCCAGGTCTAACGTGTGATGTTATTCAATAAATATGTAATAAATGTTTCATCTACCTATCGATATGTGTTGCAGAAAAGCCGTTTCAAATTTCATACTTATTATTTCAAGTTAGTTAATTAATTCTAATCGTACCAGATCTTCCACTCCCCACTGCGTAGTGGGGGTTTCTCCTGCATCTCATCCTGCTATAATTAACTCTGGTTGGCATAAATGCAGATACTCGGTGTGAAAAAAATCTACGTCTGAGACCAGCTGTTGTGTACATGGGAGAGCTAGTTGTTCTGGTGTCGCTGTTAGAGAAAGGGCTGCCACGAGGATCGTGATGCGAAGGCCTACGGTAGCCGAAATGACTAGTCCCCCCCGATGCATTAGGCATATCTTGCGTCCACCTAACAAATATATATTATTTGTTCAGATTCTTGTCAATTGAGTTGCTTAGACACCAAAATTTCTCACCGAGAACGGGACGAACGTTCACTTTCAGATTCGCGGACTGAGTCGCTCTGAAACATATTCTCTATGCTTTCTCCAGGTGGCTGAGGAATTGTAACACCACTTCCGGGCCATAAATGAGGGTGGGTGGGTCGAGTTCTAGCGCTCGTCGATTGTGAATAATTATTATTAATATCGCAGGTGGTGCTATTTGAAGTTGCCGGCGTGTTATTTGCAGATCGACTGTCGCTCCGTTCAATCTCGGTGAGAAGAGATGTTACTAATTGCTCTAACTCGGTGTTGAAGTTCCTCTCTAGTCGAGGAGGTAAAGTTGCAGATGAAGTGGAGGAATACGATGTTGCATTATCAGTGGATTGGGGAGCTACAGAGAACAACAAACATTTGTTTCAAGATTTTCCGCAGGGAATCGGAATATTGAACTAAATAATTGATGCAGGTTAAACAAATTGGCGAAAAATTTCTTCATTTTAAAAACACATTTCTCGACTCTTTTTCAATTGGGTTATACACTAGATAAAGATTATTGAAATTGGTGGGTACATACCTACTGGACAAAATGAGCTAACAAATTGTGTATTTGTTTCCAAGTTTCAATAATATTTATCTAGTTGAAAGACAAGACAAAAGACTAGACAAAAGAAAGAGTCGAGAGATGTGTTTTTAAAATAAACCAATTTTTCGCCGATAGTGCATTTTTAAACTGCATCAATAATTTGCATTTTAACCTGCATCACTCACCACAAAAGGATTGTTGCCACAATCAATTTACGCAGGAATACACACTTTGATACACGATTTGTTAATTCATTCAATTAGACAAATATATTACTTTACGATTTTTAGTTCTTTTTGGGCGTTCCTACTACTGTGATTTCTGGGTTTTCGTTTAATTTAAATTGCCAATACTTCATTTTTTATTACGTTTTTAATTTTACCTAAAATTCCAAGTACTTCACCACATAACAAATCTGTATGTTTGAAATTTTTGAAATGAAATAGTTACGACAAAAACGTTCTAGAACAGTGTTTTGATAAACAATTTTTTTTTATGTATATAGAGTATATATATTATGTATAAAGAGCTAAATATACTAAAAAAAGACACCACCTAAGTTTTCACAGTATCTAGTGATAACTAATTTCTAACAACTACATATCGTTACCTGCGGTATTATCAGTAGTGATATTTGGATCTTCGATGCGAGTTGGAAATTCACTGGCTTCTGAATTCAGGTGATTCGCATTTGAAGGCAAATGACGTCCAACCTCATTGTCCGAACTACTGCTATCAGTGGAACTTCCAATTCGAACTCGCATAGATCTGCGTGCATGACGTCGTAAAAAGGCAGGAAACATTTGCCGAAACCGCAATCGAACATGTTCGCGACTGTTCTCAAATAGCCTAACAAAAATGTACATGTAACAGATACCATAACTTTAAGTGATGTCAAACTCGGATAAAAATACAAATATTTCATTTTGTGCAAAGTTAAAAAAACACCTTTGTTGGTTAGTACGATGTAAAATAATTACAGATAATCATAATAAACAATTAAGTATTAGTAAATCGAGCCCGGATTAGTAGTCCGACTCAAACCATTACTTTGCAATGGTTTCGGACATTTTTGAAACATTACTACTAGCAATTATTCATTTTGTGTCAGAATAAAGAGCAATCACTAACACTTGTGCGCCAACAATATATTGTCGAATAATTAATGTTTATTTCACAATAGATCGACCATATATGAATAAAAAAACCGAAATGCGTATTTTCAACGTCGAATAATTACTCTTGATATCTCCAAACTTGTTACTGGCTGTTTTAGTAAAACTTTTGTGTTTAATTTTGTTCATACCATTATCCCTTTAATTATTTTACACTCTTTTAACACCCTTTTACAAATTATGATACCAGCATCCATTAGAATATTTCGGAAACTAATGGGATTTGAATCCTGTAAATTTGGATAATGGGAATTTCGGAGACGTTCTTTTCAGATGAACATTATGAGACTTCCGGTTATAAGTCTCAAACTTACTTATTATAAATGGAACACTCTGTATATTTTTTTGTGTTCTTTCTTCATTGCCAATAATTTTTATTAAAAGTCTTTCTACCCTACTTTATCCGTTTCCGAGCATAAAATAGTTTTTCTCAAAAATATACCAATAGCAGGGTGTCGCCTAAAATTGAATATCTTTTCAAAAGTTTTCAAAGGAGAGTGAAACTAGAAATCTTTTCTGTTCCGTTCTTTCCTTATTTGTTCTTATTTTGCATTAAAATTTGTATATGTAATCTTTACTTTTTTTAACTTTATATATTTTTATTCTAATGTTTACTATAAATATAGTTTTGAAATTAATAATAAGTGTTACTTTATGTTCGACTCTCCAAAAAAATTCAAAATTTAAATTGGCCCGTTGATTAAAAAGATTGCTCATCCCAGGTCTAAAACATCGAATTGAACTACGTATAGCTATCAAGATTTGTTTCAAGGGTGGATACCCTAAATATGTTTATGATATCCGCCACTGCATGCCAATCACAGAAAATAATAAAATTACATTTTTCTCAGCATCTCTAAACATTTGTTCGCGATTTGCAATACTGAAAAAGTATACATTCTTTAAAAAAATCAATAATACATAAGATACGTCTGAAATTATCAATTTGTAAAGAAATATACAAATACTCGATCGGAATAACTAAACTTTTTCATTAAACAAATCCATTTAAGCTTTACAATAACTAACATTCATAGATACCTTATAAGTTCTGGTCTATCAGGAGGTGGAATAGATGTTATAATTGGCAAGATTCGGTTTCTAACTTCATATTCCGCAGTTCTTCTTATGTTATGGATCAATTCGTCAACAGCACCGTTTGTTGCTGTTCCGTTGTCATTGCTCACAGATGATGGTGCCTGTACGTCGCCATCGGTGTTTGCACTAGTTGAAGGTGCAATACTTGAAGATCCTGTAAGCAGTTTTAGTAAATCGCTTGCACATTTAATTCCATATGTAATGATTCGAAACGTGTTTCACGTAAATCAAAAATATTATATTGGAACTTAGTTATTTTTCACTTTTAACGAATTAATTTTTCAAATTACATTCTGAATCGCTTCA